GTGTTTTACTGTTCTTCAATTTACAAGACATCCAACATACAAATGTATTATTTGCTTACAAAATTATCTTCGAGATAAATGACGTCTTATAAATTATTCAGAGTTTTATGAGGTAAGTTTATAAGTTTAAACTTAAAGTATTAATTAATAATTTTGTGTTAAAAATTCTGTTAAAAGACATTTGATAAAGTAGTGTACATACGTGAGTTGAGTGGTCCGATCTAATCTTTTTAAATTAACACAAAATAATAAATTATTATTGTTATATTTTAATTATTTATTGTATTGTACTGTTAACTGTGCATATAATGCATATCTATTGTGGTCATAAAAATATGGGTTCACAGTACCTATGCATTATATATGACAAAAAATTTCAGAATTTCCATGAGTGCCCATCCCCATATATTAATACACTATATATTTTATAATTTATACTAATCTTATTATCATTTCTTTTTGATAACAATTAGATTGTAATATTTATTTATAACAAAAAGCTAATTGTCTTTTGTTATGTTCAAAATATTTTTCATTTTTTCTTTTTATGTAATAAATAAAGAACTTGCATGTTTATTATAAACGTTTTGTAAACCTGTACTATTGATATATTTAAAAATAATTAACTGCCATGAGCTTAGTAAAATTTTGTGTTTGTTTTTTTTAATATTAACTATTAGTACTTATACCTATGTGTTTTATTATTAAAAAAAAATTATAGTTATAGAAGAGAAGTTTTTTGTGTATTTTTTTTAAAACCCCTCCCATCAGATAAAGATCGAATGGACACTACTAAGGTATATAATATTGTCATATAATAAAATCTAATTTGTCTTAAGCATAGGTAATATAAATATTTAATTATAATATAAAAATAATTAGATGTTTTGTATTATATTAATATAAATTTTAAAGATTTTCATTTGTTCATAGATTACTTCAAAAATAATTACCAACTGAGCAAAACAATCGTGTTTATATTTATTAAATTGGATATTTTACATAGTATTATACTGTTGTAAATTATATGAATTGTATGAAAAGAATTGCCAGAAGGTATTAGTATATTATTTAGTTGTTTCCCTAAAATACTATAATATATTATATGAAATACAATTTCTTTTAAAGGTGTGAAATGTTTAGAAATGCTCCAGAAATAATAAACATTTGTGCTGTGTTACCAAAAGCGCAGTGGGCATTTTGTGAACTTGTCCCTAAAATTCAAGGATATACTCAAACCAATGGCTCTATGATGGAAGAAGACCCTCAAACTGAAAATTACAATAATATCAGTTTGAATATTATATTAAAAGCAACCGATGGAGAACTTCTTAGATACATATAGTTTGTATTTTAATTTTCATCTTCTGTTTCAAATTTAGAAAAACATTAATCTAATGATAGTCATTAATATGCAACGGTGAAATAACAAAATTGTTCTGTTTTAAAATAATTTTTTTGTTAAACTGTTCATCAAAGTATTTCATCTTCATTATGTTTTGTTCTGTGACACTTGTTAAAATATTCATGGTGTTTATTTAACAATTACAAATTTATCTAGCCACCTTTGTCTCGATAATGTTAAAGGATAATGCTAAAGGATGAAATGTCCAAATCTAAACCTGCTACATTTCAACCTGCGATCACCATGTAACATATCAATTTTCACTGTTCTTAACCACAATTCGACTGTAGCGTTGCTTTAGCGATTTTCAATACCATTATTAAACTTATTATTCATAATAGGCGTTCAAAGCGTTAAGAAAGGTATGAATTTTGCAATAAACTCTTGCAAGTATGATTCTTCAAAATAATCATTCATATTTTATCTAATTTGAAAGATGAACTCCTTGCCAAGGATATATTTATGCACATTCAATTTAAGAATGGATGTTTGAAACAAATGTTATTTAATTAGCTTTTTTAATTTTATTTGATATATAGTATTAGATATTTTGTATTATGATTAATAACAATAATGCATTTATCATTTATTAATTTAGGTGGTGCGGATTTTTATTTACCATTGAATCAGAAAAATAATATGTGGTTCCCGCAAATAAGGAAACAGAGTTTTCAATAGTTAATACTATAACATACTCTTCAAGAGGCGTTATTTAATCACCATCAAATTAAAAAATGAATCTGATGGTACTGCAAAAGGAAATGGATAATTAAAATACAAAATAAAAGTAAATCATGATTAAATAATTATTATTTATTATTGTACAATATTAGCCTGGTTGTTTTTTTAAATTTTTAATCAAGTTAGTGAACAAGGAATTCATTTTTTAATTTTCTTTGTAGTTTTTTTATTAATTGAGTAAAACATTATAAACGTGTATACTTCTCGGTTTTGTAAATTATTGAAAAATTAAAACAAATAATAAAATGTAAAGGATGATTCATCACCCCATTTTTTTGGTTAAATTTTGCATATATTTAAATTCTGATTTTTTGAATTTTTAAGTGTAGTTAAAATATTAATATTTATTTGTATATGTATAATTATTTATTTTATTTATTGTAATTGACACCCACAAGAGGTAAAGGTACAGTTCTATATAGGCACAGACATAAAAAAAAATTGGGGGAGGGGTTCATAAAAAACGTACAATAATCAATATTCATAAAAAAAAAAATATTAAATTAATGTAAATAAATTACAGAACTATTAATTTTCGGGGTGGGAGGTTTGAACTCTCAAAACCTTCCCCTGTATATGTGCCTGAAAGTATAACTTTAGACTAATCAGACAGAAAACATAATTAACACATAATACAGTTAGTATGACAAATAGGAATTAAATTAATACATGGAATTTCAATTTGGTAATAGGATCAAAATTAAAGTCAAAGTTAACAAGTTTGTTACATGACTTGGGCCAGCAGCATAACAGACTATTATTTACATAATTCAAGGTACTAAATGGAACATGGAAGGTTGACTTGTTCTGGAATCTAACGCAAGCACTCCATTGCCAATTTTAGATAATAACTCTGATTTAGATAATATATAATGCTTACTTAATTATTTAACCATAATATAAATAACTAGGTATTTATGAAAATTTAAAAATGTAAAAATGAACTTAAAAAAAAAAATGTTATAAAAAAATTGTTATTGTTAAAAATTTTATTGTAATTAATGTAGTTGTTTTAGTAAAAAATGTAATTCAAAATGTTGCTGCCATGGCTGTTACCACCGCTACCACTACCAAGTTTGTCGCGATCACAGTCACGCCTTCATTGGCGCCGTGACAACATGGACTGGGCCAGTTGTACTAGCCCCTGGACCACCTAAATCAATAGATTAGTACATCTTTGAGTATAACAAAATTAATTAGTATTTACAGTTTGAAATGCCGCTACGGTCCCAATCACGACCCCGTGACCTCCAGTTTTGAACTTGTGGTTGTTGGTGTTGTTGTGGTGGCGGTGGTCTGTTAACAAGAAACAAGTGGTTGAAAAAAATACAAAATACATCACAAATGTAAGTCTAATAAGGTGCAAAACATTATAATTAAATAAAATCAAATATGTTTTTTTTAATTTCAGATATCTACCAGCAGAAAAAACTCATGTTATTTTATACAGTGATTCATGTTCAAAAATTAATACAAATAGAATATTATACACCCAACTGTTGACTTTCAATTGTTGAGTGTAAAAGAAAATTTAAATTTTTTCTTATCAAAGGTGTTTTTTTTGGTTTTTTAAATATATATTTAAGCATTTTAATAATTAAAATAATGTTGGTGCGGATGTCACTGCTGGTGGCTAAATATTAAATTATATAAATATGTAACATATTATAATTTAAAAAAAGATTACATGTATAAACTACGTTTAAAAATATAAAGTAAAGTAAAATCTAACTATTACCTATCTATATGGTTTGTAATATATTTGGTAGATGAATAAAAAATTAATAAATTAACCAGTTTAAACTGATCGATTTTTGATAATTTACGGAATATATTTGGTAAACAGTATTTTATGATATAAATATAAATAATAAATATAGTACAAATTGTCTGAAAAATAACTGCGTACCTCTTGAATATTGTCAGATAAATAATATATTAATATATAGTTTAAATAAATAATTGCAAGATTTTTTAAACAAATTTGAAATATATCTTCTAAAAGATTCGTAAATAATAGTAATAGTTACATTTGTTATGCATACTGTGGCATGTCCTGGTTTTAAAATAAATAGATCCCGATATTATACTATTAATTTATAATAATATATTTAGTAAAAGGGTGTATGTAATAAAAATATTGACCAATTGGTAGGTACTTAAATTAAAATAATTAACAATAAATATAATACTTAAATTTTAATAGAAGATAAAACAATAGAAGACAATTTCATGATCATTACATTCACTAAGCTTTATTGCTTCGGATAATGTATAGCTTATAGTGGGTTATTATTTTGTTAATAAAAGAATTAAATGAATTTTAATTATTTGATTATGTGGAATGGCTATGGGATCTACTTCAAATAAAAATAATATTCACTAATAATATCAAATTATTAGAAATATATTTAGTTTAAAATTCTTTAATATATTACATGGGAGCGATAAACTGAACAATTTTATGAAAAATATAATAAAATTGATGAATTAACTTGTTTCAGTATGTATATGCATTAACAATACATAGGTATACAATTAATTTTAATGTATACAGAAACAGTTTAAATACAGAAAAACTAACAAAATGTTTAAAATAATCTGCAATGTATGGGAGGCAACTCTACTATAACAGTGAGTTTAATTATTATTATTATTATTATTATTTTAAAAGGGAATAATGACAATTAATTCTTCTTTCATAGAGGTTTTAAATTCAAATTTTAAAAAGTTTAAAATATTATTATAATTAAAACATGAAGATCTATCCATATTTCATTTGTAGCAAATATATCTATGAACATTATTTTGAACTCTTCAGTAAAGGCCAATATTTTGGGATTCCAATATAATTATTGTGTACTTCAACCGAGATCTAACAAGCGTATATAAGCATTTAAAAATTACAGACTCATTAATATGAACTATTACGCATAATTAGCGAAACAAGAAAAAAGCTTGGAGCTATAGAGAACATTCAGTGATTGTTAAATAAGAGTTTACAGTCAAAATATATCCAGAGATCTTTAACTAATCAACATGTTAAGATTAGAGAGACCGTAATTTTGAATAAAAGGATCTTAAAAATGTAAAAGAAATTTATTATCATATTAATAAAATATAGTATAGAAAGTACAGTGTAGTCCCGATTATCCGCGTCTTCCACGGAATCGTCTACATACCTATATGTATACAAAAAATATACGTATTGTATCTTTCCATTATAAATCATTATAGGTTTAATTGGGTTGTGAATTTTTCTAAATCTCTTACTGGAGGAGAGAATGTTGACGAAGAAAACATTAATGAGTGGATAAATTGTGATGCCAAGGATCCAGGATTTGAGCGTCTTAGTGATGAACAAATAGTAAGTGGAGCATTAGGTACAGTTTCGGAAAGTGAAGGTGAAGAAGAAGAAAACGATGAAGTAAATGAAGTAAAGCAAGTTAGCCATGAAGCAGCTCTAAAACATATAGACGGGATCATTAAATATCTAGAAGAACAAGACGATACAACTCTGTNAATTATACATATATAATAATAATTTTCAATTTCAATTTCCAATTTAGTTTTTATTATAAAATTTAATTTTGCGGATTATCCACGGAATTCGTTTATCCGTGGATATCCTGCCATCCTATTCCACGGATAATCGGGAGTACACTGTATTAATAAAAATAACAAACATTTTCTACTCCTTTAAGCAGAAGTTGAGATAGTGTAGGGAATTATAGTACACGTGAGATAAAAAATTAAATTAAGTTACAAATAATAATAAAAAAAACTGAAAAATAGAGATATAGAAATAAAGACTTAATACTATCAAATTACAAACATTTACACATCTTAAATAATACAACATAATTATTGATAACTAATTTAATAATATTAGCTTACCAAAAATTGTATTCATGTAAATCAATATCTAAATGTCATTAAGTAAAAACAATTATGCCGTCATTATAGTGTTTCTTTTCATATTGGAATAAAATATAGTTTATACCTAGGTATATTATAAATACAATTTTTATGATCATGTCAGGTTTTTGTTAACACAATTATATCCAACTTAAAATATGAATTATTTTGTAAAAATAAAAGAAATTTATCAAAGTTAGTATTAATGCTCCTAATATTAGCACATATCATTAAAATCGATTATTACAAATGCTATTTTTTTTTATAAATTCAGATATTGAAAGGTAATAATTTTTATTAAATAATATGTTCATATCAGTTATATTAAAAGTGTTTATAAGCTAAAAACTAATAAAGTTACACATTTATATAACAAATAATAATGACAGTTATACAATATGAATAGTATTTTATGCAATGTTATTTAAACTGTTTTCATCCTCAATAACAATGACTATTTTTTTTATCTCTCCTTAAAAATAGCTATTTTACAATCCCCAAACCAGATATATTTATAGTTATGTTTCTTTGCATACAATCTAGTTTTATAAAATAGATTGTTGTTTGTATGTGTTAAATGATTATTTAAGAATACATTTTCATTCCATTTTGTATTGACATTCTTTGCATTATTTTCTTTTCTTTCTTGCCAACTCCATCAACGTTCTTTTGCTGTTGAAATTACTTGCGACAACTACAATTTTTCCATATTTCTTTTGAATTATTTTTTCGAATACGATATGCATATTCAATAGATACAGGTCCCCCTAATGTCTTTGAAATTTACTCTACAATTTTGTTACAGTCTTCAATTTCTTGTTTCGGAATACCAACTATTTCAATATGATTTTCAATTAATTTTTGCTCTATAAAGTTAATTTTATTATTGACTATACTCATTTAATTATACAAATTTTTATTTTGTTCTTTTAACTTTTTATTCTCATCATTAACATCTTTGATCGATTTAATAATGTCTCGTAGTTGTATAGTGAAATTATCGAATTGCCCACTCATAAAATTAACAGTTTTTCAGATCCACTAATAATTTATCCGAGTTACTACAGTCCTTTATTAAAGTTACTTTATTTTTATTACTTAACTCAGAAATAGAATATTTGCCATTTTCACAGCACCATTTCTCTTTAATTGCAGCACTCATTTTTCTGAAATTCGTTTCTCTAAAACCAGCACATGTAAAGTATAAGAATATTTTACATTTACATTTTTTACATTTTATGTCTTCATTATCATAAATTTCGTCTTTATAGACAGTACACACTGTTGTAACATATTGACAGAAACTGCAATTTTAAATTTCAAATCACTTCGATAAAAATAAAGATAAGGGAACAAAACACAGCATACACGATTGACGTCCGTACGCCACGAAAGAAAACTGATAACTGAAATAGGTTATTTATGGGTTTTTAGAATATTTGGGGAAAATCGGAAAGAAAATTATAGGTAAAATGGCAAATATGTAGGATTAACATAATATCGATGATTATCGATTTCATCGTTGTTTTTAATTTTTGCAACTTATGTTTTCAACCAGATATATTGCGTGAATCGTAAAATGACAAGAGATCGATTTTGTTTCTTTTACTATAAGCCACAGTCTGATAAAATCGTTTTTTAATACACAAAGTCGTTTTTCTAATAATTAAAAAAACGTAGAAAATATTGCAAAGTGTACGGCATTCGGTTATTTTTGCTATTATTCGGTCAAAAATTATTTAAGAGACCTGTGGTTTTCACAAAATAGTTATATTGGCCTTTTGTACAATTGAATTGGTTATTTCGAAAAGGCCATTTCTCCACAAAATGAAAATGTTCAGTAAATGTAAACAACTGTTTTAGAGGTCAACATCAAAATAAATAAAATATATATACTTAAGTAACACAATTTATTAAACATCTAATAATTATATAGTTACAAATTAATCAACTGTATCATAACCTTTCTGGATAAAGCCGCAGTCACATATGACCTTTTGATTTTTACGGATAACAGATTCTACGAATTGGTTGCCTTTTTTAAGTAGTACGAACGAGCATGTTGGTGAATGATACGCATGTTCTTTTCAAGGGTCGTCCGTAGTAGCCCACCCATGAAGAGTTAGCCCGTTCAATATACATTGAACACAGTCTCCAGCACCTAAGAATTTGAAACCAGCTTCACACATTGAAAATTTGTTCAGATGTTTCAGAATGAATGAATCGAACGTTTTGAGTCTTGATACCATCCAAAAATCCTATGTCAAATGATTCGCAATCGTGTACCTGTACGTTTTTAGTACTTGTACATGCAACTATTAATTCAGTAAACGCATTTTCACTAATTTCGACACATTGTATATCATAATCACCATCATAGTCCTCTTCACCCTCTCCGACCGGACCTACATAAACTTCATACCTCAGAGCGAGGTTACAAAGTTTCCATTTATCGGTGTCTGATGAAACGGTATTTGATTCGATAACGGGGTCGTTTACATATCTATTGAAATCTAAACTAAACGAATCGTGATTAAACGATTTGTTACTTCCTACGATTGATAAAAACTTTAATGTTGAATATTTCCTATAGTTTTTTTTATAACGCTTTATTTCCGGTTATATTTCAGTTGTCTTTTCTGTTATTTCTGTTTTTCTCTTTCTTATTTGTTTCTCCTTATTCTGAATAGACTCAGAAATGAGTGCGTGGTCGATAATAAATTGACGCATTTTGGATAATGGCTAAATTTAAAATTTACTGAAACTTCGTCCAATCGTTGAAGTATTATAGACGAAAATGTTTATTGATAATCATACAACGTGTTATTTGACGACCGATTCGCGACTAAAACTTGCAAATAATTTTATATTAATAATACCACCAACTAGAGAAACCAGATTTTTCGGTTTTATGCAGAGTTTTACTGCTAAAGTAAGTCAGAAAATAACGCTGGGTCTCAACTTTTCGCTCTATCTATTAATATATACTATAGCATCTTTTCTGAGAGGCAATTTTCTCTCGTTGGTACATTAGGGGGTAGTTTTCAGATTTTCCAAGCTGTTTTCGAAATAATCGAGAAAAACCCGAAGGAAAACTATAGGTAAAACGGAAAATATTTACGGAGCGCCCACGCCGTGGTGTTCCCGTTTTCATTGTTTTTATTGTATTCACACGATGTTTTCCACCAGAAATATTGCCCCAATCGAGGAATGACAGGAGTTCGATTTCGTTCCTTATAACATTTCGCCATTGACAGATTAAGTCGTTTTTCGATATTTTACCAATATAACTTTATTCGATTTTATATTATACTTTTTAGTTGAATTTTTGTAAATAATATCATTCAGTAACATAAATAGAATAAATAATAGTAAACATAATAATAAAATAACAGTAACAACACCGAATCGAAACTCGCCAAACGGCATTGAGTATTGACAATATCTATGTAAGTAAAAAATAATAAGTTTTCTTCGTTATAATGTCGCAACCGCTGTGTATGTATACGAAAGAGCACGGGGCTTCCGACAACGGTCCGTGTATTTTCCATCACCGACGGGCCGTTTGTCCACCTCCCCCGACGGCCCGTATAACGTTAACTCCTACTTGCGAGTCTTTCGGGCCGATCGAAATTCTTAGGCGGGCGGGCGCCTTTTAGTGCACGGTACCGCTGCCGGTTGCCTGTTGAACCCGGTCGACGGTAATAATTGACGGACGCGAGCCCGCGCCGTCGTCCGGGTCACGTCCGCCGGTAGTTTACGAACGGCCGGCGACGTCCCGGACTGGATGACCGACACCGGCTCCGGGATCGGCGGTTGTCGCTCCTCAATGTTTATCGACTCGAGCCGTTCTCCTCCCTCGTCCTCTTGGATATTTCGCCGGATGTACCGGGCTACTCTCACCGGTTCGCCCGGCGCGCACGGCAACGGTCTTATTTGAGCGCTATCGATGCGCCCGCCGTACAAGTAGTGCGCACGAACGGCATCCTCGTCGGTACCGGTAACAAACATCAACTCTATCGGTTATAACCGGCCGCGAACGGAATAAAACGCGACCGGCTTTGGCCGGTTTTGACGTTACCGCGTCTCCCGTCGCCAACGGATTACACCGCGACGTCGTCGGAATACCGACCTGAGGGGCGTCAATACCTAATCGCGTGAGAGCGGAGAATCGGGAATTTTTTTTACTACCTGAAAGTCACGTACACCTCTCGTTTTTCACCCCCCCCCCGTCCGATGATTTGAACGTCGCCTTCGGGTATAAACACCATCCAGAAAAAGCGCCTTGCGTCAATAGTGGTCGCCGCCCTGGGCAAATTCATCAACCTAATAGTATTGGTTGCGGTCATGTAGCACCGCGTCTGAAAAATCGAAATAAACGTGTATAAATAAATGATAATATAAAGAGAATAATTATGTTTGTTCTCTTTCCGAAGTCCGGTAACGGTCGGATTCAATACGGGTTTCCCATTAAATTCGTGATTTTTAATACATTTTTTATAGTTCAGAGAAAAGTACCTATATAATTACGCAGCAGGCTGTAATTGCATTCGCTGATTAATTATTAGTATTGTTTCGACTAATCACACAAATAAGACAATTCTTTTCTCTGAACTTTAAGAATATTTACTAAAAATCGCGAATTTAATTAAAATAAAAAGTCCATACGTCGACATTTTCAAAAGAATTATAAACTCAATAAAAACGGCTATCTTCAAATAACCTCCTAAAAGTACCACCTGGACAACATTTCCTTTCAGAAATGGTGCCACGTGTATATATCTTAGCCAGATTTCTGGTAGAATTTTTGTACACAGGATAAAAAAAAAATAAACATCTTAGTAAAACTAATACATTCTTCGCTACACTTAGGATATAAAAACAAAAACCTCGATAGTTGTATTTTATTTTATTTGTTCAATTTAAATTAGTTACGTTACCTATATTTTGTTGTAATATATTATGTATTTATATGTAGTCAGAAATGTATAAACAAAAAAAAAAAAAAAATGGATGTTTATAGAAAAACGGAAAACAATAATATTATCATTGTAATATAGTAGTTAACAACTGAATAATAAAAGCGGAATATAATATAATTTTCACACAATTTTTAATTTAATTTTTTTGGTATCTAGGTATTAAAAATAAAAATCCGATATTTTTTTCGATTCTACTAGTAAACAATGTATTATATTTAACTTTTGTTCAAATATATATTAAAATAAATAATTAATAACCTACTAAGTATATTATGTGTGTATATATATATATTTATATAAGTGTATACAATTTTACATTTTTAATTGGTATTTTTTTTATAAAGATATAATATATACGAAAATTTTAGAAAATTTAGTAATGTAATATTATTTTCCCTAAAATATTCCTTTTACAATATAAACGCTTCAATAATAATTTGTAATGGTCTTACGTAAATGAGAAAAACAAAGTAAAATCAAGCATAATATAATATTAATATGTACTTAAAGAAAACGTAGTACTGATATTCGATTGGGTTTATCACGACTATAAAATAATAATTTTACTGACGTCTTAACATATATTTAAAAAATTACAATTATTATTCGAGTAATATATATTTAAAAAAAAAAAATTCATATTATTTACTATATTGTTAGTAATTTAAAACTAATAACAGTTTATTTGAGGGGCCTGAGCGAATGACCTGATTTTTCGCAAAAAACATGCTTTACAAGATAAACTATTATGCCTCGTAGAGATCGATTTCGATCATCTGTTTTTTGCAGTAAAAAGAGTACCACTGATTATTGCAGGGTGCATTGGATTTGGATTTTGAAAATGATATCTTTAATCGTTATAAATTTTAATTCAAATTTGAACATGACCAATTTTTACCGGTTTTTCAAACACATTTTTTCGGGGGTTATCGGTTAAACAATCAAAATCGTTTAAGTACGTTTTAAGAGAAACAACAGGTCACCCGAAGGTCTCTCACAATTACAATTTAAAAATGATAAACTATATGTTAAGAGCTTTTATAACATTTTTAACTGTATAAATGTTAACAACTTAGTAAAAAGTCACGAGCAGAACTCTTAAAGACTATAATAATTTACACAAATCAAAAAAAAAATATTGTAAAATAATGTTGCAGTTGTGTTAATCGCAGACAATCGTTTTCGTATTATGATTTATGAATATTTAGATTTTATAAATCTTGCGATTACATCCTTTAGAATCGATTAATAATATAATTAATTTCTGGCATGATTTCCATACGAATGGATTTTTTATTTGAAAACATGCATAATTTATAAATCAAACCGAGTTAGCATACATTAAACATACCAATAGTATATTCCTACATCTTGGGAGTCGTTGAAATCCCTTGAAAAATCCGTATTCCGATGTTTTCGTTTGATAATAATAGTCTAACGCAATCCGAAACGAAATTCCAGTCGGATAAATACTGCAAAAGTTTTTTTTCTATTTTTCCGTCTTACCTGAAGTTTGTTCAAGTACAAAACGAAATTGTCAAACCCACATACTTAGATTTATAACGAAATTTTTGAGATATTAATATTTTTACCGAAATAAAAAAGTCGAGTTATAAGTTGTTTTTTGATTTTGCTCTTCGAAACTTTTACTTCGACTCAAGCGTTTGTCGATTTTCTCTACATTTATATCAATTATATATAAATAATTTTTAACATTGACAGTAACTGGTCTGATGGAAATAAAAATATTGTTACACGATTCAGGCCACTTTTTTTCTCGCTTCGTTAAAAAAAAAAAAATAAAAAAAAATATCCAATCTACCCTTTTTATTTTTCAGTCATACCCTGTTATCTTCCCTTTCTCTGATTATTAAAAGCATTTCCTACAAAATGCATGGAGTAGCCATATTACATTATAAAACCATGATTTTATATACCTTATCAGTTATCCATAATATAACTATTAACCTGTACTAACCGCTGTGCAAAAAACCCATTCGAGTAAATTCGTTTTATATAATTCGTTATTTTCCGTAAAACCAAGTTTTTTTTTTACCTATTATCATAATAATTCTGTAAAATGGCTATCAACGGAAGTTCGTCATTCTTCATTCTTTTTGCCATACTATACAGTCTACCCGAATTTAGTTAAAAGTATTTATCGTACAATATTTAGTATTCCACTGGACACACGGTAAGCAGAATCATTGTCCACAGACAGTATACTTAACTGCATTCCCATTTAGATATAAAAAACCTTATTTAAAATGGCCTGTAATATGCGATTGAATATTCCGAAATAATTTATTTATCGATTATTTAGGTAATACTTTTATTTTACAAAATAATAATGGCATTAGACCATATTCGTATTTTACAAAAAAAATAAAAGAAACATAATAATTATAAAAAATTATTATTGGTATTAAAAAGGAGCTATATCGCCTATAGCTAACGGGAGAAATACGATTCGGGTTTTGCGGGTTGCCTATACGTTCCCGTTTACGGGGAAATTTTCGTAACGACGAAAATTCCAAAAGTCTTTGCGGACGCGAAGGGACGAAAAATCGAGGCGGCCCGAACAAACATTGTAATTATTGTACCGTCGAAAAACAATAACAAAACTTGTATAATACAATAATAATATACGAAACTATAATATTAATATGGATAGTAGCCGAGCCGCGATAAGGTTAGAAAAATAACAAAAAATCGCACAGAACGAAACTTCCGATCAGTTCGTCGAGCAGAATATTATTTACAGTAATTTTTTCAATATAAAATCTGCGTATTTTGCCGTAAGTTTTACCCACGCGTCTGTATAAACGTTAAATATTTCGTACGTTTTTTTTTAGCGAAATGCCGCGGTACACGATACAATCCGTGCGGTTGTCGATTTTCGTTCTGCACACCCTGTACACACTATGCGTGAATATTTTATTATTTGTTTTGGCGGGGAACGTGTAAAATATTATATAATACGAATTACGAGTAAATGTATAGTAAGTATGTAAAGGCCGAAGCCGAAAGGAGACGAGCTCGTCGGGGTTTCGAACTATTCCTCCGACTGTTTCTGCACGAATCGCTCTATCGCTCTATCGTATCGCGTCTCAATGCGAGTCCGGCAACGGTAGCTCTTTGATAAACCGCTGTGCCGAGTTCATGACGACGACGAAGACGACGGCCGGGCGACCGTCGCTCATACTCTGGTCAACGGACTGTCGGCGTCGATGGCCAACATCCTCTGGAGTTTGTGTCTCTTGGTCTCCACCTCGGATACCTGCGGGCAACAACGACTATAGTATAAGGATGAAATGAAACAGTTTCGGACAATCTATTCGTTTTTACGGTGAAAATTTGTTTTTTTTTAATTGTTTTATCTCGATTCGAGTATGATTTAGCGTAACATAGCTCGTGACGAAAAATTAAAGATTTTATCAGATTCGCTAAATGCAGAAGGGGCACATGATAATATCCACGATTAGACGGGCAAAATTTTTACCACAGGATCAGTGTCGACACTTAGTAAAATATTTATATATTTATATTCCTTTTATAATTTGATAATTACACTGATAACCCGGCACAATGTTCGTAGGAGTATTATTATTTTTTAAATACCTACTTATGGGCTCTTCCGAATTCTGAATTGTTTTACTACGTTATTGTTTTTCACAAATTTTTACCATTAATTATTTCAAAGAATTAATGAATTAGGTATTGATATCGCAGTATGGTACACGAAAATTAAAAATATGATTACAATAAATGATTTAATGAGTATGGCTACACTGATCTTGGGTTAGAAAAGTTACCGTGATATAGAGTGGTACAGCCTTCCGTTATTGTCATTTACAGTGTTTTGGTAAACGGCAAACGACCTCGCGGCTTGTTATATAGACGAAATCGAGAATGCCCTGCATGGTATACGCGAAAATTATTGCCGTANGTTATCGAGTTAAACAGACTTTTTTGAGGTTATGGTTTTTATTTCTTATTCGATACAGTTACGGACAACTCTGGATTTTACTGCAATCTTGTACCAGGGGTTCATGAACGTGGATGGTTGTCCGTACGTCGTCACTCGACACACGGCAGAGACCGTCGGTCGTTATACGGCGGTAACAGTCGACGACACCGAACCTCATGAGCTCCTGGTACCAATCGCCAGTTTTGCATCTCTAGTAAACACGTATTCATCTTTAGCACGTGTTTTTTTTACATATAAACTGTTAACGGGTGTGTTATTGTTGTAGGTGGAAAGTATGAGTAGGTACGATTTATGTAGGTAGATAATTATTTATATTTGTACACAACGATAAAATATTTCTAACAAAATAAGATTCTGAGTATAGTTCGAGTTAAAAATACGATTCGAAATAAATGATTTTTACGACTTTCGTTAAAATTGAAACTTGAAAAAGCTTACGAAAAAACTACAGAGCCTTTTTTAACATCGTAAAAAGGTATCTGCAGTAGAGCGTATTCAACAGAAACCAACAAAAACTGTTACTGCATCCACCTCATATGCACAGATGACTGGTTCTGCCGCAAATAACGCAACACCCAAAATGTCCAAGCAGCAACAACTAACTAGTGAAAATGACTCTTAGTTAGTAGAAATCTTGTTTGCCTTAACTAACATTACTAAATCGTTAGTTAATGTTACATCTAGACTAGATAGATTAGAATTTAATCAATTCAAGTCTAATAACAAAAGCCAGAAGAAAAAGAAATGAACCTCACATTGCGGATTGTAGCATGGAACGCCAACGGGCTAGTACAGCGTAAACAAGATCTAGATAATTTTTTAAATACTGAAAACATCAACATTGCTCTTATATCTGAAATACACTTTACATCGTGGACTGTTCTAAAAAAAAAAAACTACAAGATTTATACAACTTTACACCCGAGTGGTAGAGCACGCGGCGGTACAGCTGTAGTCATATGAGAAACTATAAAACACTTTGAGCTTGAAGAATACTCAAAACTGTACATACAAGCCACAATTGTGTAATGATAAGTTATGTATACTACTATTGTTTGTGTTAAAGATGAAAATAATGACCTCTCGGTCACAGCTATTTATTGTCCACCCCAAGGAGGTGCAGATGAAACTAGATTCACTTCATTTTTCCAAACGCTAGGAGACGCTAGGTTTATTTCTGGCGGTGACTACAATGCTAAACACTCTCACTGGGGATCAAGACTGATCACTCCAAAAAACGCCAAGATCCAAAACTTACAAAGGCAACGACCGCCAGCTCACCTACTCGAAGGAAATTAGAGACCTTGTTCAACAAAAACGGCAAGCAAGACGAATCTATCACAGAACTCGGCATCCATCCGATAAAACCGAATGGAACCGAATCAGCAAACTGCTACACGATAAAATCAAAGGAATTAAAAATGAAACGTTTAAATCGGTTTTATGTGGCTTATCTGTAACAGAGGATTCCGATTACTCGTTATGGAAAGCCACAGGACAATTAAAAAGACCTCGCGTCCATATGCCACACATCCGAAAGGAAGATGGCACTTGGGCGCGCTGTGAACAAGATAAAGCTGAGATGCACGACACCTCAAACGTGTATTTCAGCCAAAAGACATCATCTCTGAACTTGACAACATGAAATGTCAGCCACAGAATTCTACAAGAGAATTCATAAAGCACTTTACACCACTTGTAGTGGCTGATGAAATCGACACCAATATCAATACGAAAAAGGCACCTGGATTCGATGGAATCAGTCCACGTATCCTTAAAGAGCTACCTAAGAAGGCAATCATCCATCTTACCAACATATACAACGCTGTCTTGCGAACAGAATTCGTTCCCGAGCAGTGGAAAAGAGCGGAGGTAATAATGTTGCTCAAACCCGGGAAACCACCCGAACAAGCCTCCTCATATCAACCGATATCGCTTCTACCATGCATGTCAAAACTATTTGAAAAACTTCTTCTCAAGCATCTTAAACCAATTATTGAAGCAAAGCAACTTACCACCAGTTTTGACTTTTGACAAAGTTTGGTATAAAGGCCTATTGTTAAAACTACGTGAACAACTTCCTCACACATAGTGCGCACTCCTCAAATCATATCTGGCTGAAAGACATTTTGGCGTCAGATACGAAAAAACGATAACTGGAAGAGTATATCAGCTAGAGTACCTCAAAATAGCGTTCTCGGACCTATTTTGTACCTACTCTATACAGCTGATATTCCAACTAACGAAAATACAATACAATAATAGCTATGTTCGTCGAAAACACGGCAATACTATCTACAAAGAAGGACCAACAAACTGCGACCAATAACCTACAAACGATAATCAACAAGTCGATACACGTTAACTACACCTCACGTAAAACCACTCACATCCCAGTACACTAAATCAGCAGATAATTCCGCAAAATAATTCAGCGAAATTTTTAGGAATGAGATTAGTCGGTTTGCTCACAGACATGCAAGAAGATTGGAGCTCCACACAAATACGGCTGCCATACAACTCCTCGACAACTCGCAGGATATCAGACGACTCAAACAACTGAAGCCATTTGACTTAGTCTAATTATTAGATTTAGAATGTGGCTGCTTCACTGGAAGTAAAACCCCACACAAGTTTTGTATATATATATATATATTGCATTGTATGTATAAATAATTCTATTGATTTATATTTATAAAGATTCTTTTATCGTTTAAATAAAAAAATACCTTTAGACAATTTAGAAAAAAAAATCAATTAATAAATAATTATACCGCTACAAAATATTAAACATGCTAAATGGTTCTATTTTTTTTTAAGGGTATAAAAGTAATTTGGTAACAAACTTTTTGTAAGGAAGTTTACACTAGTGGCGAATCCAAGGGGAATGATAAGGGCGAGCTTAACTAATCAAACCTTATATGCATATTTAAAATCACTCCCTACCCTGTTATCTTGTCCTGGATCCACCCCTGGTTTACATGTACCTAATATAATACGCCCGTATCAAAAGAACAAATGTTTGTGAGGGCCAGATGGCATTGAATTAACAATTTGGTCACATTTGCTTCAAAACACATTATATTTCTCAAGACATTAAGTCCTTTGATTTAATTAATTTATGTTGTATAATATACCTATAATATTGTTTAAGTACTGAGCGGACCGTGGAATTAGTTTAGAATGTACCAATATTACTATTGCGGTTTATAAGCATTTGACATTTTCGAGTTTTTTAGTTTTTATTTGATTTTATGGGAATACAATATTGCTTCAGACAAACACAGACACTTGAAAATTTAACCCGAGGTTCGTCATAAGTACTTGGTAGGGAAAAATAGGCTCTGTAGTTTTTTCGTAAGCTTTTTCAAGTTTCAATTTTAACGAAAGTCGTAAAAATCATTTATTTCGAATCGTATTTTTAACTCGAACTATACTCAGAATCTTATTTTGTTAGAAATATTTTATCGTTGTGTACAAATATAAATAATTATCTACCTACATAAATCGTACCTACTCATACTTTCCACCTACAACAATAACACACCCGTTAACAGTTTATATGTAAAAAAAACACGTGCTAAAGATGAATACGTGTTTACTAGAGATGCAAAACTGGCGATTGGTACCAGGAGCTCATGAGGTTCGGTGTCGTCGACTGTTACCGCCGTATAACGACCGACGGTCTCTGCCGTGTGTCGAGTGACGACGTACGGACAACCATCCACGTTCATGAACCCCTGGTACAAGATTGCAGTAAAATCCAGAGTTGTCCGTAACTGTATCGAATAAGAAATAAAAACCATAACCTCAAAAAAGTCTGTTTAACTCGATAACAATATTATTTCTCGATAATTTACGTTACCGCGAATAACCACTGCGGTTACGGCAATAATTTTCGCGTATACCATGCAGGGCATTCTCGATTTCGTCTATATAACAAGCCGCGAGGTCGTTTGCCGTTTACCAAAACACTGTAAATGACAATAACGGAAGGCTGTACCACTCTATATCACGGTAACTTTTCTAACCCAAGATCAGTGTAGCCATACTCATTAAATCATTTATTGTAATCATATTTTTAATTTTCGTGTACCATACTGCGATATCAATACCTAATTCATTAATTCTTTGAAATAATTAATGGTAAAAATTTGTGAAAAACAATAACGTAGTAAAACAATTCAGAATTCGAAAGAGCCCATAAGTAGGTATTTAAAAAATAATAATACCGTCGTCGACGGTCGCTGCCGTGTGTCGAGTGACGACGTACGTACAGACCATCCATGTTCATGAATCCCTGGTACAAGATTTTGTTCTCTATAATTTTCTATGAGTTAATTTAATAATTTATTATTATTTATTATTTTTGTCGTCTTCCTAATAAATTTATTGGGCATGTTTATTGGTTTATTGATTTAATTTAATTTAATGGTTTATTTTATTTTTTTTTGTGTGTGTAATTTTCGTAATTTTATTTAAATTTCTATTTGGTAATCGATAATAAATTGTATTTTCCCTAAAAGTGCACAATTATTGATTTGAAACGTTGACAACAATTATTAAATTATTTATTATTATGCTACGTTTCATACATTTTCTAAATTTGTTTAGTGGAATTTACATAAGCTGTGGTGGCAAAATATTTTTAGGATATTTACTGTTTCATTTTTAGAGGTTTACGTATTTTGCTTGATTTATATCATTTTTTTTTTAGTATCACGGTAAGATTTTCTAGACAGAAACTACGGGACTTAGCGATGTACACATTTTTGTACAAATGTTTGGCAATTTTTTTTTTTTTCTCGAAAAGGGACATTAAAATGGAGCCGGTAATAGGGGAAACGTTTATTCCTTCGACAGTTCGACGACTGCATTTACCTTGAATACGACGGTCCTGTTTTCGTTGTTGTTCTGGTGTTTGGGCGTGTTGGGCTCGCTCGAAGACCGATTTTTGTTGATCAGCAACGGGTAATTGCTGCTCAACGACGAATCTGAACTCTGCCGGCTGCAGTATTGACAACGGCGCTGCGCCAATCGGAACGTCACGCTCTCGTAACGCGTACTGCGCTCCGATCCGTTTATCTGGGACGAAAACAGAAATTTAATTTTTATAAAGGTCACACGGGCATATTACTAACAATTTGTTATTGACACCGTGAAAAATGTTTCGCTGAAAAAGTTTTGTTGTTTTTCATTTTGAATATTTTTAAAATAGGATATTTTTTTCTGTCTAAAGAATAACTTTTTGTGATGAGCGCGTTACGATTGGAAATTTTCCCCGATATTATTTTTAACAAACTTACTTAAAAAAAAAAAAATAACATTTGAATATTATTATAAAAATAACTTTTTTTTTTTAATATTAGCAGGAATTTTACAGTAAAACCACGATGATTAAAAGTTTAATGGGTTATACACGAGTAATACCGAGTTGTCAAAATCAAATTTGGAGATCGCTGCGTATAAAATAAATTGTCAATTTTATATATATAAAAAAAATAATTATAATAAAAAATATAAACAATTGAGAAAAGGTTGAAAAATCGAGACCGGTAGAGCGCGTTAATGTAATGAAATAACGACGTTTTACATTACTCAAGTGCATTATGCTTAATATACATTGCCAATGTTTTACTTCTTAGAAAAAAAAAAATTGATTTCTGGAAATCTTCTTTTTAATCGTGCATTTGAATTATTTAATTTTAATGTTCACAGTTTGCTAAAATACTATTTTTTTAATGCAATTTTTATTGTTTACGCGAAAAAACGTTCGAATATACTTTATAATATATTTGTTATACATTTGAATAAATTAAGAGAACATCTTTTTCAAAAATTCGTCAATATAGAAAAGTTTAAACAACGATAGTAATAAAATATAAACTAGATTTTTTAGATTCTGAGTGGAGCGAAGAAGCTTATTTGTATATTATATTATAGATATTTATAGTTTGACAAAGAGGTTTTTTTTATCTGTTCACAACTTTTTTACCAGAAGACTTGCTCAGATTTTTTAGTGTAGCACCTTTTATGAAAGGAAATCGGTGTGGGAAGGTACTTTAAATAAGTAATTTTTCGATTTTCTCAAGAGTTTTCTCATCAAATGCAAAAAATCGATATAAAACATGGGAAAACTGGAAAAACCGTAAGGAAATTGAAAAAGTCGATACAACATTAAACAAATATTATTAAAGAATATATATAAAGCCTATTTAAGTTTTTTCATCAAATTTGAAAAACCGAAAAAAACGGAGGAAAAACGGGAAAATATAAGAAATGTAGGTATTAGTTAAAATATATTACGGCTTTCTTTATTTCTGTGCACAACTTTTCTAACAGAAATTTTGTCATAACTTATAATGTTATCAATGTTTCTAAAAGGAAATTGCAATTTCAATTAAAAGGTACTTTAGAGAGATCATTTTTCGATTTTCTCAGAAGTTTTCTCAGCAAATGTGAATATAAATAACACATATTGTTGACAAAGCATCATTTTCAACCGAACTCCAATTAGGGTCGATTTTTCGTAAACATTGGTTTTTCGTTGCTTACAGGTGTACATTAAATTATCTATTGCAGTAGCTGCACCCGTCCCTATTATCCTAGGAAGTTTTTTTCTTTTTTATTCCATATAACATTAATAATTTATTTTTACACTCCAAATAGTTGATATATAAAGAACTTTTGTTTTTAAACTCGGTATTTTTGTATTTTTTTTTCAAATGTATTTACCTATTATTTGATATCATAAATCAATTTAATGTTATGTTCAAATGGTTTTATCGAGAAACGTAGTGAACGTCTCGGTAGGCCCAGTCTTTGCATCATTGGGTGCGCGGAATTTAATTTATCGATCATAATATACGACTATGTGAAAATAAAAATATTATGCCTGAACGAAAATAACTAGACTGGACCGAAAAATAATAAATAATATTCGTTGAATATATTATCATTACATTATTTAAGTAAAAATACATTTATACGACCCCAATATGGGATTAATACGGCAATAGGACGTTTGCCTACGTGCGTATATTATTCAATAATCATGATATTACTATCATAATATTTTCCGAAAACATTTAGATTGCTATGGCGTAGGGAAAGAGGGAAATTAATAATGCGATTGCCACTATTTTCCGAAGACGACCAAGAAAAATCACAAAACATAGCGTAGAAAATAACTACTAGGGATGATGTTGTTTTTCCTTAGGTCTAATTTGAAATGGGTAGTATACGGTTTTCAGTAAAAATAATAAGGGAATCGAATAGCCACGGCGACCTGCAGCTATTATACCAACGTCGAAAAATACAAATTTTACGCGTTTAAATCCGGCACTTCTTCAAAGAAGTAAAATATTAGTGTCCCGAGTGATAAACCTAAAACCTATAATCTTTAGAAAATGATTAAAAGTCTTTCTTACTATTTAAAGTAAAACTATTCATTCCCTTTGGCTTAAGTGTTCGAAGTTCGAGAGGACGCTTTAGTACACAGATACATTTTTTTTTATGTAATTTTATAAACTCGAATTAGTATTATTAAAAATAAATGCTATAATTTCTGTTTGAATTTAAATTTTGTACGTATTGGATGGGATTTTTTGAGGATTTAAAAAAAGTTTTAGTAAACTCATATTTGGAGCTAAAGAGAATAAATGTTAATTATTTTAAATTACAAACAACTATAATCGCAGAAGATATCCCAACAACTATTTAGGCAGTTATAACTATTCCTCCAATAGAAATCAAAAAGGAAAATCCCACATGTGAGTGTAGATGATAAAGAAAGGTTGGCGCTGGTTAAAAACATATAAACAGAAAAAACGTATATATTCTATTTAGATCATACGAAGCATATGAATGATTGAAACCTGGTGACTCGAGAAAAGTTGTTTGAAATTTAAAAACCACTTCAAAGCTTGAAAAATCGAGATACATGATATTAGGTTTACGAAACAATAATGAAGAGTACAGCAAATTTTATCATTGCAGTTTATATTTGTATATAAACGTACGTATGTAAATAAATATACATAAATTCTGTCATGTATCCATATAACGATTTGAATTTAGATTTCAGTAAAAAAAAAAAAAAAAAACTATACATTATTATATGAAATGTATAAGTCGTTTCAAGAGTCTTATTATAAAAACGGAACGCGAAGTGTCACATTAAGCCCTACACGGTTTTTGGAAAGGGCCCGATTATTATTATCGATACTTCGAAACAAAATGATTCAAAAACAGATTCTTCAGTCGGTATTAGTAGAAACCTCAGAATATTTTAAAGGTGTATCAGTTTACTGTATTTTATGATCGAATTGTAGAGTATTATATTCCTTTAACTAGAGAAGTAGGGCAAGTTGTAGAATAATATTTAAGAATCATTGTTTATAAAAAGATTAAAATATAAAAATAAGAACAAATCGTATCATTTTGTTAAAATAATGTATGTATTGCGAATATTTAGAAAAAAAGAAAATATAACTTAATTTCTGTTTTTATTTAAAGAGAGGCCAAATTCGGGGGCCTGGAAAGAGGCCAAATTTTATGTTTGTTTATGCTGGGTTTTGCTGAGCCATAGAACTTACAAATCAATACTGTTTACACAATTGAAATCAGCAAAAATAATATTATGTAGAAGAATATTTTTTTTTGTTTTTTTGAAAATGGGGTTTACAGTTTATTTTTAAACCCTATTATATTTTTAAGAATAAATGCTCGAGAAAAATATTTTGGAAGTCTTGTGTTCATACGATTGGTTTCCCGAAAATTTGGTTTGGGCGAAGTAAGTTCTCGGGATCGTCGCTCAATTGTCTAGTAAATGTAGCCGCCCTTCCCCCCCCCCCCTCGAAGTTTTATCCATTTTAACCACTGTGTCTGATTGTCTTACCGGATTGTACGTGGCGACAAAGTCGGCGGGCGGCGGCGTAACGGAACTGTCGAACGAGTGTTGACACTCGACGGACGACATGCGGAAACTCTGCACGGACACGCTGTCCGGATGCGGGGCCATCATGAGCCGGTGCTGTTGGCACGCCACCGCAGCCGCTTTGGACGACGACTCGCGGAGCCGCTTGCGACTGCACACCGCTCGCAGTATCTCCTTGCGGAACGCGTCGTTCCGGAACACATACACCAGCGGGTTGAGCGTGGCCGCGGACAGTGCGCACGAGTACACAACCTCGTCCGGCAGTTGGACGATGGACACGTGTACAAACAACGGCGTCCAGCTGAACAGGTACGTGGACAGCACCATCATGGACGTCTTCATGGCCCTGCTCTCCTCCCGGAAAAGCAGCGCCGAGAATATTGCGTTCGAGTTGCGCCGCGACAGGTCGGGCTCCGTGCACACGCTGTGCTTGCGCGTCCGCAGGCTGTTCCTGTGCAAAGACAATACGGGAGAGGAACCAATTAAAACGAAATTCCATTTTAAACCTATGACGGAATTATTACAATGCGTTTATAATACGGATTAATAAAATTATTAAAATTTTGAACAGCGTTCAAAAAATTCTCGGCAAAAAATCGATGAAAATTGGTCATAATCAAACACTAATTTCAGCGTTAAAAAAAATAACTTTCAAAATCTAAATCCAATGCGCCCTGTAGAAGTCTTAGTTATTTATATATATATATAAAAAAAAAAGGTGAACTCGTGTGAGACAAATAAGAGTTTATTTCTTGAAAACCATGTTTTTTTTTTTTTTTTTTACGAAATAGTAGGCCCTTTAAAGGTTGCAGGTTTTGCATTTTTTCGGAAAAGTCTGAAGGTGCGTTTAGGTACCAGAATTAGGTGATAAAACTTCGAAGAAAAAAAAAATAATCATTCAACAATTTCGGTAATAATTATTAAATAAAGCGGAGGGATTAATGAATCGACTTTGAAAATAATGCTACACTCTTAGCGTGTAATCCAGGATATTTGCTACAGTTGTCAGAAAATTGATAAATAATGTATACTATTGCCAACCGTTTGCTCTATAAAACATCGTACTCGTAATTCCTGCATAATTTCGCATCGTGATTCTTGTGCATTATCACGTGACTTGTCCATTTAAAAATGCGACCTCCCACCGGACTTTTACTTTAAGTCTACGTGGTTTTTTTTTTTTACGACTAATGGCGTTTTAGGTTTTCACTTAGGACATAGTAAATACATCTGGAACAGTATCCGGGGCTGTAGGCTGTAGGCCGCCGTGATTAAAATTCCTTCATAATATTTTAACCCATCCAAAAGTTCTGTATATACGTGAGTAAATAATTGACGCGTTTATATTATTTTCAAAAAAAAAAAACGGAAATAATACACCCTTTCGACGGAATACAATTATAATTTATTACCGTTTACGTTGTATATCCATTAGAGTCGATTAACAAATAATAACGACAACGACTTTATTTCGGGAAAGTCTACGTTGTGCGAATAAGACATTTATGTAATCAATTATAACATATTACTATATGACTTATAAGTTATAATAAACAAATGATAAATTGTAATATTATGTCATAACTATACATTCTATTATTATCATTGTAAACTTCTGGTAAATTGCTTGCAATTGTTATTAAATTAAATTAAAATTTATTTTTTATTATTTCGCAGTTTCTCCTATTCCCCCACCTTTAATTCGATTAAATTCGGTCCGCGGCAACACTATTTCGGTTCACAGCAGCTCGTGCATGTGTTTTCTCCCCATCTCTCTCCTTTAACAGCAAGTATAGATAACTTTTAACATTAAAAATCGTATTACATATACCGTTAACGTTTGTTTTAATGACTTTTTCCTACCGAATAGTTACGTTTTTTTTTTTTTTTAGATAGTTTTTATCATTGTCGCGCACGTCTCTGGCGGTTCTCGATCGCGTCATAATTACTTTGAATTTTTTAGCGTCAATATTTTAATGCCTCGACGGATGGATACGGCATTCTTTACTGCAATCACAATAACGCTGCACAGGGTGATGGTTTGATTAAGATTTTATCGAAAAATGTAAAGTCAATTTAATTAATAATTTTTTTTTTTTACAATTGATATGGAATTAATTTTTTTCGCTTTATTTTAACATTATTTTCACACTTTTATCCCCAGTCCTTATTCCTTACGGGATTATTATTAACTTCTGGTGTTCAAATTATCACTGTACCCTAGCAGGATATTTAGAAAAATATTCTCATATCGAATCTGATTCGATTAATGAACATGGAGGGAGAGGAATTGCTATTTTGAAAATCAAAAGTTAATATGCGCATATTTACGGTGTACAGAATAATGGTTACATTTTGTAATTATTATAAACAATGTAATTAATCAATTATAAAATATATTATAATGACCGATAAAAACCAGAATCCATTTTACTCGAAATCTCCGTAAGTCAGTCGACCGTCACGAAAAATCATTCAGTATTACATTGTTCTATTTCTCCGGTTAATATTAACCGTATAATTCTATCGACAAAATTAATAATAAGCATTTTAGACGCGTTTAAATGTATTGCTGTGTCAAAGACGCAACTGTACTATAATACTTGATTACATTCTGTAAAGGGAAATTTATTATAATAACTGCGATTACAGCTGTTAATATATACAATTTCAGGGCAATTTAGTTTGATGAAACAGATTTCAGATTCTTAGTGGAACAAAGAGAAGCTTATAGTTTTTTTTTATCTGTGCGCAACTTTTCTACCAGAAGACCTGCTCGGATTTTTACGTGTAGCATCTTTTCAAAAAAGAAATCGCCGTGGTGAGGTACTTTAGAGAGGCATTTTTTGATTTCCCTGATAAGTTTCCCAGAAAATCTGAATAACCGGGATAAAACATGGGAAAACCGGGAAATCGTAGGACAACTGGGAAAATTGGTACAACATTAAACAAGTTTTCTTAAAGAAAATATATAAAGCCTATTTAATTTTTTTACTACAAAATGACGTATATATATATATTGTTGACAAAGCATCACTATTAACTTAACTCCGTTCAGAATCGTTTTTTCGTAAGTAATGATTTACCGTTGCTTACAGACATACATTAAATCTCCATCTACATCCTACCTTTCCAACTTCCCACCTACACCAGTGATTGCACCCATCCTTATTATCTACCTTTTTTTGTTTTTAAACTATTCAAATTAGTTCTATTAAGAAACTTTTAGGACAGTGTTGGAAATTTATTAAAATCGTATTTATAAAAATTTTTTTTTTGAAATATCTACGCATAATAATTTAATTCAAAATTGCGGTTTAAATATACGCAATTCTAAACATTTGATGTGGTCAAAAAAATGTTATTCACATGAAACCAAAAAAAAAATTCCCGAATATTTCAAATAGCTAAAAATAACAATTCAAAACTTTTTCGAAAATTGCACTACATCTAAAAAGTTCTAATATACGAGTAAATAATTAGCAAAAATGTCAGGTATTTACGTTTAATTTTTCATCGAATAATAATAAAAAAAACCAAAACAAAATCGAAATTAACTGCAGAAACCGTAATCGCGTAAATATTTCACGTTTATCCGACGGTTTATTCCCCATTATTAAGTACTGATAATAATTGTAAACCCTCAATGCACCAACTACGGATACAATTTGCTACCAGAAAAAAACCTTGAAGTTGATGACCAGAACAAGATTTCTGGGTAAAAAAGCGGTATACAGGCATAAAAATAATCATCATCGTTTCGTTCAGAACTCAAAAAAGAATATAGTGTATTACCTTAGATGCCCTTAGACATCGTATATTATTATGATATTATTTTCACAATAATTTTTTTTAATGATGAAAAAAAAACTCGTTTTGAATAAAATTTAATTCTCCGTTCTAGTAAACATCTCGTTATAAATCCGTGTAACATAATATTTTTGTTATAAATTACATTGCAACAATGCGGTCTCCCGCACCCGGAGATTCCGGGGAAACCTTAAAACAGTAAAAATAATTTATTTTCTTAAATAAATGTTATTACGTAAATGTGTAAAAGCTTTTGAGGTTTTCCTTCGTCACAGTGCAGGTACTTAAGTACGGATTAAAAGCGATGAGGTTTCCATTGGATCGAGGCGTTCTATAAACCGAAAAAAATGCACGAAGATATGATTCTATACATTCCTACCGCGTAGGGAATTCTATATTGATTATATTTTCCTTTTATTTATAAATTATACAATGAATAATATTTTAATTTTTTCGGCTTAATCGCCGTTTCTACTAAACGCCCCTCTATGCATCCTTATTCCCTGTCTATGGTTATACATAGATGTTCTCCGTTAGTTATTCCCGTCAGCAACTTGAGGGCTTCCCCGACTCGGTAACTTTAGTGTAATTATAGTCGAATGGTCGTCTTCTCGGTCTTTTTTAGAGGTCTCGATTGAAATCATCGTGAATTAATAAATACGCGAAAACGGAGTCCGTGAATGGAAATTTTGTACTCATATGAATCTGTGTTCAGTGTTCACGTGTGTTAGTATTATTCTCGTGAATACGTATTGAAAATATGTGAAAAATAACGTGAAATACGAAAATATTCGTCAGGATTTTTTTTTTTTGTAGTTGAGGAGAGTCAAAAACAAAAGTTTTTCTTTACGCCATTTATAATTGCTGTATTTTATAATCAAACCTAAATACATTAAAATACAAAGTTTATACGATTTTATGGCCAATTTACTTAAAAATCAATTTTAATACGACTACAGCAGTTGCGGTTTTGATAAAACATCAAAAGGAGGAGGCCATTTTAAATTTGTTGGGTCTCATACCATAATACTATATATTAAATAAAGTGTAAAATTTGTTCATGGTCTTATCATAAATTGCACATAATTTTCATTTTAGATTCTGAGTGGAGTGAAGAAACTTATGGTTTTACAACTGTTTTATCTGTGGACAACTTTTATACCAGAGATCTTGTTCCGAAGTATACAGTGTAGCAACTTTTGTAAAAGCAAATTTTTTTGGGGAGGTAATTTAAAGAAGTCATTTTTTCGATTTTCTCCGGAGTTTTCCCAGCAAATGTAAACATCTGGGAAAAAACATAAGAAAAACGGGAAAATCGATACAATATTAAAAAAATATTATTAAAAAAAATATATAATGTCTATTTAATTATTTTACCACAATATGTTATTTGTTGAATGTTACTGAATTCCGCTCAGAATCGTTTTTTCGTTAGAAATGGACTATTGTTGCTTACGTATAGATTATATACCTAACAATTGACAAAAAAGTAAAGTCCATCGCCCCCTACCCTAAAAACATCTACTGGACTACAGGTCTGTATAATATTATAACTATTGCACTGTTTTTTTTCGCCATTATCTCCAAATACTTTGTAAGTAGAGATAAATACTTCCCAACTGACTAACTGAATGAAGAGCAAGTTCCGTTAAACGATAATTTCCAGTTTTAATTCGCAGTAATGTCTTAATAAGCATTCCAATGTTGAAAATGAACGTTCAAATTGTTGTAGATACCAGTATAGAGTTGAGCAAAATTTTCATTTAAAATTGTAGGTTCGGTAAAATTGCATATGACGAGCATCTAAAATATCCATAATTAGTTCAGAGCGTTTATTCATGCATTTATTCATTTTTCACACCATAACAAATATTGCCATAAACTCATTTTTTCAGATACACGATCTCCATAAAAAACGTTAAGATTCTTAATTCCTGTAATATTTTCCTTGAAAATAATTTTTAACAGTAATATGATATATTCAATAGACGATAAAACAAAATTATTTTGA